AAAACCCACCAGAGTTTTAGTGCTGTCCAATTTAATACCATATATTCAAAGTTAGAATTTGGGACAGACAAAAAATATTTGACATGATATGAAAAGAAACACAAAGCTTTAACTGGAGAAAATAAACACCTGTTACACACAATATTTACAAGCTCAATGTCAGAAAAAGCAGTGGCAAAAGTAGCTGTTATGTGAGATTCCCTCAGAGTGACACACATAAATAATCCACAAAGGCGTTACCTCCCATGTGGTATCAGAGTCCAAATGCTCAGAGCTTCTCTAATCATCTAATTTCTCAAAAGATTATAAAACTGTTTCCTGTACTAGGAAATTCCAGTAAATAGCCAATCACACTTCTCCGAAATCAGTTAATGCCCTTTTAAATCAAATATTTTGTTTGAAACTGCCCCCTTTGTTACAAAATGGTTTTAAAAAATACAGTTCAAACAGTTCCAATCTCATTCTTCTGGACTGTGTCAGTAGAACACAATTCTGTCTGGTATGTGGTGGACTTTAAACACATGTAAGTTTGCTTAAGACTGCAATACCATATACTTGGCCCAGAGAATTAAAGAATTACTGAGGTTAAAAGAGAGGTCTTCAATTCAATTTCCTCCTCAAAGTGTGGCCTGATTCTGAGGTCAGACCAGGCTGCTCAGAGATTTATTCACTCAGGTTCTAAAACTTCTAAAGACAGACAGTGAAACTTTCCTGGGCAGCCTACTGCACTGCCCAGCTGTCCTCCAAGTGAAGAAGTTATTCTTTATACCCAGAATATCTTATTTAAGAAATTTCCAAGATAAGCAGTACCTGGGATATGTATCAACTAGCAGCTCACTGTTTCACAAAAGATCAGTTTCCAAAATCTGTATTACTCTAAAACAAGGAATAAAATCCAGGTTGTGGAGAGGGAAGGGAGACAGGAAGCATACAGGAAGAGAAAGAGCTACTGAAGTGGTCAACTGCTAACTATCCTAACATGCTACATGTACATAAACCACATATACTGTGTCTCAGTATATTTCCACATATGTGGAATATATATGGAAATATATATTCCACATATGACACAAACACTGAGAAGTGGTAAAAAGGACAGATGGAGATAACAGAAAATAAATAAATAAATAAATAGATGCATCCTGCACAACACTGCTGGTCAAGAGACTGCAATCTTAGGCACAGTTACTTCCCCCAACAACTTATTTCTGGGAAATCACATTCTATTATCTATCCTCTGTTGTCCAGATATTCTCTTCAATCCACAAACTTCAGTCCCACTGAAATCTGTGGAACTGTTCACATATCATTTTGTAAAGACCAGGAGCTTATTTGTTTCACTTAAAGTTAATGATCTCTTAAATAGTTACTACTTACCAAGTTCTACTTCAATTGTATTGTTCCTTGGATAAATAAACTCTGGTTGCATCTGCAGTGGTTTTTCTAACCAAAACAAAGGAAAATAAAACCTTCAGGCAGGAAAAGATCCATGACTTAATTCAATTGACAATAGTTTTGGTTTTACAGTGGGTTTGGTTTTATGATTGGTACTACTGTAGTGCCATACTTACTATGAGTTCCATATTTAAAACAGAAATGTCTTACATTTGCTCTACTCTTTCCAAGTTATTCTATTTTAGCTCCCAAGATAACAAAAAAAAACATCAAAACTTTAAAATGCTTTAAAAAAAATTCTCAGATTTACTGGCAGCAGATATGAAAGCAACACAAATCAAGAAAACAAAGACAAAACCAAAAAATGCAGAAATGCAGTTAACTTTTTCAGAGATAGATAAGGAAGAAAAAAAGGGTTGTATCAATGACCTCCTAGATAAGATGAACATTTTTTTAAGTACAAGTTTAAATAAACATGTATAAACATGTACATAAACTGGGCTGGAATTGTATTGTTCTGCACAATGTATAGATTGGTTGCCAACAACCCACTGTTCATATATCATCTACATAAAGTCAGAATTTTGGTTTAACCTAAAAAGATGGACCTGCTGTCTCCAGAGAGCTATTCTGATAGCACTATTATCATGTTACTAGTCAGGCCGCCAGCAACATTGCCCACAAAGACATAATCAGAATGGTAAGTGCAATAAATGACACTACTGGCAGAATGAGACAGCAGAAAAGCACAACTAAGTGCCAACAGTAAGCCAATCTGTTTCCAGAGGAATATTTATTAACTTTGTATTACTTATACAGCTTGTCACATCTCCTTTCCCATCAATGGAGAAGCAAGTTCACCAACAGGGCTTCAAGCAGGTCATTTGCTGCGATAAGTCTCAGGAGAAAAAGCTTTTATTTTTAAGTTTATTTACTTTAATGGTGCAGTATTTGTTTTGGCAAAAGCAATACCTCCACCACTGCTTTCTTGTAATTCAACCCTGCATTACTCATTTTACCAAGACAATTCTTCCTCAAAAGCAATGCTTAAGTGTAACAACATGCCTCATTGCCTTTCAATTTTATGTTCAGGAATAAATTAAAGAAGACTTACAACTCTGTTTCTCAGAGCTGAAAAGTAACATGCCAAATATCTTATGCCTCCATACAAACGTTTGCAGCATAGCCAAGAGAACAACCTCATGCACTCACCTTTAACCTCTAGCTTTATGGTTCTTGAAACATTATATTGTTTTCCCATATATGTGTATACCATATGGCACGTGTAGTTTCCTCTGTCTTGCACAGTTACATTACGAATCAAGACAGCATTTTCACCCTCTGCCAAAAGAAGTCGCTTGTCTTCAAGAAATCCAGGTTTACACTCCTAAACACACCAAAAGTACCTGTGAATTAAGGGAACTAAAAACCTGACAATTAAATCAGTTAATGAACTCTAGTTCATTGGTGAAAATACTTGGCAAAGTATTTTGAGATACTTGATGATTTAAAATTACTTCAAAATACTTGAAATTACTTCTTTGAAAGCCATGATGTAGATTCTTCTCCAAGCATCAGTACAATTTAACATGTTTCTCCATTTGCACTTTTTTAAAAAAATCACTGCTGCCTATCCTTGACGTTTTCAAATGCTGTGCTTTAGTTCACTGCCTTATTCAGGGAAAAAACCTTCCTTCTCTTTCTTGACCTACCCGCAGTGGAGAATCTCTTCACCTCAAAAGATGTATAGGTGCAGCACCAAGGTTATTTAGCATGTATAGGCCCATTGCTTGAATACTAGCATCAGAATTAGGAGTTGAACTATTTCAGAATTTTACCTTAACACAGAGAAAATATGTATCTCCAAGCCTGCACATTCTACAGAACATTTTTTGCAGAACCAAAAAGCAAGCAGCAAAAGAATACCACAGAGAGTGGTATATCAACAGATAGTACATCTCTATCTAATATTGGAATATTAGAATATTCTCTAATATCCTGAGAAACTGAAATAATTATGCAAAGCCTTCTCTTTACAGAAAAATAGGAGTTCTAGAACTTAATAACTACATAAAATAATCAAAGGAAAAAACAGAATTTCACAAATCTTATTCACACTCATGCCTTACTCAAACTGTAGATAAAACAAACCTTCCCTTCCAAAAACTGCTTTTCACAGTTACTTCATAAGACATTTTAAATAATAATACATTTTGTATCTTGTATATATGAAATACACACACTCAGTACCTTATACCAATGTACTTCAGGCTGATTATTGTCTTCATCTTTAAATTGTTCTAGATCAGGGCATATAATTTTTCCAGTTTTTGTGCTCATCACTTTTTGTTCAAACTTCATTTTTCCATTAAAACACAAACCATTATCATTCTTAAAAACTGTTAACTTTATAGTTTTTTTGTTAGAGTGGTTAAGGCTCCTGTAATTAGAACAGCAGATAAGTCAGGTCATTAACAGTAAGGTTCACTATTTCCAGCAAGTCAGGGAGAGGGACTTCAGCATCTCCAGCAGCCTTGCCTCTATAACACCCCTGCTTTATTCCCCTAGTTTGTAAACACCATCCTCAGCCCCTCAGCCCCTGTTCCAGGTGAAGAAATGAAAATAAGTTCTCAGTTTGGCTTGTGAGCAGAAGCAGAGTTTACTCTGGACACATGAGATGGGATGTCAGGACTTCTCAGAGCCGCAGTTAAGGCCTAAGTATCTGATGCACAGAATGTTAACAAAATGCTGCATACAGTTAATACAACTGAACCCTAGCAAGGTTTTTGTTCTGCTGATATTGTGTAAACCAAGGATGCAAGGTGCCCAAAGGAACCACTTCTCATAGTATATACTAAAACCATAGCAGGAAAGGCTAAATTAAAATTATGCAGCTGGGTAGTTTTGAAGGGATTACATGTCTTCTGACTTCCAATTTTGGTTTCAGGGTAAACTCTGGTGAATGTCTCTGACATTGGAAGATTTTGCTGATAATTTTTACTACATTCACAACCCAAACCCTCCAGCTTAACTGGGGTACTCTTTGCACACCAGTACACATAACTACAGACTACTAAAACAAATTCAGGGTCACCTGAAAAGCCTGTGTTGGCTGTTCTCAGTGTGTTGTGACAACACCATGAGGAAAAGAACATTTTATGTCTGTCTTCCCAAAGTTAATTTCCTGTTCAACACACAGTGAATTTCAAACATTGTAAAAAAGACCTAAGTGATGAAGTCCAGTGCACTAATCTTAGCTATTGATCTAGACAGAGCTTTAAAGTACTAAAAAATCTGGATATAGATTATTTTCAAATAATCTATTCCTTTTTTATTTCTCTGTACACTCAGATCATTTGAGTAGTATTAAAGATACATTATTTTCAGTCTCTAAAGCTGTCTAGCACACTGCTTTGCTCTTTTAATGTATTCTCATTTTTGACCAGTAAGACATGGTAATATTTTAAAATAAATCATAAAAACTGTTTTCAGTCTTTTAACTTGCAGATTTCTAGTACAACTTCCAGTAAATTACTGAGCTCTCCAGAAAGTCTGTGTGGTGATAAAATGCAAAGTCTGCCCCTCTTCAAATGTTCTTACATTTAGCCTTGTCCTACAAAGAAACCAGTGTTGTTCTGATCTGTCAGTATCAAACAGCAATTTCAACACAGGAAAAGCCAAAGAAGTTAAGGCATTTTCCTGTGACCTTACACTTCATCCAAAACAAACAAAGCAAACAACCACCCCCACAGACCATTTTTAGTATCATCATGCTTTAAGATAAAGAGTCCTCTGTATGAACCACTTTTGCAGTGCTAAATGTGTGGAATAGCAGAGAAACAGGCATCATGCAGAAACAAAAACATGGTCAAAACAGTGCTTTCAACTGATCCAGGCATTCTACCTAAACAAGAAGTTTTGTAAACACAAGTTCCACAAATTAATTATCACACTTGCAAGCACTAGCAATCCACTTGTTTCCTTCCTTCCTTACCTTACACTGCATTCATAAATTCCAGAATCTTCCAGCATTGCAGGAATAAACCAAAGCAAGCCCTCTCGCTGGTGGATCCTGGCATCTCTCTCTGTGGTCACTGGTGTAGCACTACCATTTTTATACCACGTCAAATTGTAATCAGAGTGAAGCACTGGCAATGTAATTATTGGGCAAGTAATAGATGTAGGCTCTCCAACAAGCACAAAGTAATTACAAATAACACACCCTTCTGTTAAAAAAACAATGAAAAAAAATGAAAAAATTATCAATGCTTTTAATTTGCATACTTTTATGTTTAAGAAGTATTAATACCCATTCCAAGTTACACAGAATCAGAAAAACTTTCTGTAACAATTTATCATTAAAACATCACAGTGCTATTCTTTTTTGTTTGTTACCACCTTCTGGTTGAGAACATGAACACATATTTTACAAGCTTAAGGAACAACTTCCCTCTGTTAAGGTAGCCAGCAACAAGCACATGCAAGGCAAACAGTCTCACTGCAAACCAGGGTGTAAGAAGATCCATGGCATTCATCAGGCAGCTCCAAGATTCCCAACTTACCTGTCGTGTTCTTGTTATTTAACTGTGCTAGTACTTTTGCAGAATTGACAGATTCTTAAAGTAAATACTATCTATGTAAAGCACAGTGTAAACAGTAGCAGCGCAGAACTCTTGACAGTATTCTGCTACTATGACTTTGGGCCAAAAACAAATCAAGAAAAAAAACAAAAACTCAGAAAGAAAAAGTATTTAGATAAAGATTTATTTTAGATTAAAATTTAAAAGTATTTAGATTAATCATTTAGATTAAGAAGTCTTGAGTATAATGTATTATTTCCTTCCTACATTTGTGCCTTTAACTAGAAGGCCCATTATTGAGAACATCACACAAAAGGCAAATGTAAACATAGTTTTTATAATTATAACTGTGTAACAAGTTGACAGGACACAATCACGCAGCCTAGCAAGCATTTCCTTCAACATCAGCCAAAAAAAATCAGAGAAAAAAGCACAGATATTGCAAAAAGTTATCAAGAGCTTGAATATGCAATCAAAAACATACTGGAGAATACAACTGTAGCACAAACAGAGCTGACCATTTGGCTATAAAGCAGATTGCAAAACTTTCAAGCTTTTGCATATATTTGTCCAGAAAAGCTGTGGGTGCCCCACCCCTGGAAGTGTTCAAGGCCAGGTTGAATTGGACTTTGAGCAACTTAGTCTAGTGAAAGGTGCCCCTGCTCATGGCAGGGGGGTTGGACTGGTGACTGATGATCTTTAAGGACCCTTCCAATCCAAACCATTCTGTGATTTTATGTCCAACACTGAATTTTTACGGAACTGCAAAACATCTGCTTGAACTGATTTTACGCAGTTAATATCTTTAATTTTAATCTAAGCAATTCAAATCTTGCTTAATGGCTGTACAAATACAAAGTTAACATATTCAATTTCAAAATAAATTAAATCTTCACTAATATTTCTAATATCACTACCTTTCCATTTAAAGACTTCCAAGTAGGTGTCCATATAGCTCTAATTCAGGGACATTAGTATTATACTGCTTATACCAAGAGTAGCAAGACAACCATGATTAATTTATGCAGTTCTAAACTTTACTGAAATACTAGACCTATCATTAAAAATATTACTTATTTAACTGTAAAGAAAACTCAGCCCTACTGCTTTCAGGACTAGACGTACAGAATGTCTCAAAGAAGGCACACTACAGCTAACCTTAAGTCAAGGAAGCCAGTCACTTTGGGATTTCTTCATAAAAAAAATGGCTAATCAAAGCCTCAGAGCCCTAAATTTATGCACCTAGATTTTAAAAAAAACTATCTCCATTTGTCCATGACATCTCTAGTGCCATTTGGATCCAGCAGATATTCAGCTAGCATCAACATGCTAAAGCAAAAACAAACCCTACTTATTCTCAGTAACTCTTTCTTACTAAATACACACAACTCATCCCTTGCAGATTTTCTTTTTTAAAATGGTAATTTCAACAAAATATTTAACCTACCAGCACTGAAGAGAGGTATCAGTACAATGAGATGACCAATGAGCAAAAACATAGATGTCATATTTTCCTGCAAACCAGAAGTTATTTCCATTAGTGTGGTAAAACTGTTCAAGATGCACTGCTCTCTAAAAAAAAAAAAAAAAAAAAAAAAGTAAAACCAGAAGAAGCATTAGTCATCTTGGGGAGGGAAAACTTGGATTTGGTAACTTAGGCCCAGTCATTGAAGATTTCAATTACAGCAGCTCTTGGCCTTCACAAACAGCTGCTCAGCTTTCTGCTAGAACTTTTCCTGGAACTGGAACTATGCTGATGGAATAACTCTTGCATAGTGTAATATTCTTAAACCAACATACTTAAACAAAAAAAAAAAGAACCCCACAACCATCAAGCACAGACAAATTAGCATAGTGATTTAAGCTATTCTTCAGAATTAAAAAAAAAAAGCTTGATTAAGCTACTCTTCTTTCCAAATGCTTACAAGAGACACAATCACAGAGATGTAAGAGGTTTCCTTCTTTGAACTGTTCTCATACAGCTGAGACAGCTTTTAAGAGCAGTAACTTGCAGTTCTTTACAGAAGGATAAGCATACTGTAACTCCAGTATCATCTGCCACTTAAAATGAGCATCTAAAGTCAAATGTCTGTGGAAACCACAGCTAATATGAATTGCTGTGGTCAGACACAAAAAAAAAGTGTCCAAGGATTGTAGTTTCAATTCACACCTCAGGTCTTTTTTTCAGTTTTCTCCAACAAAGACACAACTGAACACACATCCGCTGCCCTCATGGGCCACAAGTGGCTTCTACGAAACTCTAAACCTTAACCAAGTCCTGCTTCCCTCTCAGATACACCAGCATTTTTTTGGTGTCATCAGAGACCTCCGCAAGCTTTCTACTGTCAACCAGCTGGCAAACAATTAAATCCTTCCCCTTCTGACAGCTAATTGTAGACTAAGATCTGCATCCAGTGGCCTTTCCTTTCCTCGGCTTTTGACTATTTTGCAAGGTTCTGCCTCTCACTCTAAAGCAAGCTGGTTTCACATGTAGCAGTCCATTGCAAAACATTTATTGCACAGGTCCTAATTAATATTTGCCTTTTACCCAGCTAGAAATGGCAGGAAGAAGATAAGTTATTCCATGAAAAAGTAAGACATGACTTACTTTTCTGTCCAATGTAATTCACTTCAGTTGCAAACAAGCCACAGCAGTTCCTTCTTTTGAAGCATTTCATGTGCAGGAGTTCTGGGGCATTAGGGGAGGTCACACAGTGTAGAGTTCAATAATTTAATATAACAGCCTTCAGGTAAGTTGTTCTTTTGCAAAGTTTATCTGACGAAACCCTCATACCACAGTCCTTATTTAGTAGCCTTGTATGTGCTTCTCCTGTAACTTGCCAACAAGCAGGTCATCATTTTTGGAGTTTCAGTTTACCTGTAAAAAGCAGAGAAAGGGAAAAAGAGATTTTACAAAACATATCATTTGGACAGCACATACAAAACTAAATTTTCTACAGACATCCTAAACATAAAAGCAAGAGCATCCCCCTGTACATTACAGAGATGACTTAAAAGAGCAACAAAACTTGCAGTACAGACCGACCAAGAATTCCAGCAGATACCTTCAAGAAAAGACGTTTCTGTCAAAAACAACACAATGTTACACATGTGTCAAGCAACTTTGTAAGACACGGTCAACAACTAAAAGGAAACAAATACATTTAAGGCACATTTAAGTGAAAATAATTAGCACTGTAATAAGGGTATGCTGACATTGACACAATGACCACAAATTTTAGTCATTATGTCTTCTTTCCAGACAATCATGCAAGCTGCAGAACTACAGAAAAGCTGTATATTTAAGACAAACCCATTATTCAGGGCATTCTGGTGAAGCTACATCAAAATGTAGTCAAAGAGTATTAACAACGAAGCCTGCAACAGTTAGGTCTTTGCAAGCTAAATTCCAGTTCAACTTTGAGACAGTATTAACTGTTCTAAATCTTAACTTATTTCTTCAAGTTCAGGTAACTGCCCCAATTTTTACCAAACAACAGGACAGGAACAAAAACAGTGTGTGTAGCTGTTCATAACTGGCCACCACTGGTTGACTCTACAACAGTGAAGTGCTATCTATTCATTCTGTCCCACATCAAACTAGAAACAATGAGTGTTTCCAAACCACACAGAAAAGAGCAGACTTATTAATATTTAAATAAATTGAAAACAGTACCTTCTTTCAGTATTGAGTGGAAGGAGTTCATTTCACAGTCCATGCTTTGAATACTTTTCTAAGTCATTTTAACTCCTGATACCTGTCAATATGAAGTAATAAGAATTTTAATGTAGCACATTTTTTATTTAAGTCCAAATTAAGTTATTAAGCTTCCAGGATCATTCTCAATGTACTGTGAGGAGGCATTTAAAAGAACCTGAATATTTCATGCAGACAAAATTATATTTACCAAAAAGAGTGATGCAAAGTATTTAAAAATAGTCTTAATCTCAGGAGGAGAGAGGAAATTAGTAATATAAAAAAAAAAAAGTAATAGGTGTTTCGTTTCTCATTTCTTATAAAATATGTGAATTAAAATATCTGAATTAAGGATCCTGCATTCTAAAATAACTTTTGCACAAGACTTTTTAACCTGTTTTTTAAGGATCTAAACACATACAAGTGGTCCAAGTCAAACAAGTGCCCAGTGCTGAACGTCTGAAGTAGAAAAACAAAACACATCCAGCAGCTTGCTTGAGTCCCTGTAGAAAACGCTACAAAAGCTACACACACTTCTGTGTCTGGAAGCACACAGAGCCTTGATTCAGCTCGGTAACCTTTTTAATGGATCTCTCCTACCAAGCTGTGACTCCCCAGGCTGCTGCCAAGCACCGTCAAGGCTGTGACCAGGACAGATCTGAGACTATCAGAGCAGCAGCTCCTTCCTGGGTTTGATACAGGCACCTCTTTCACCCAAAACCTTGCTCTTGTCACACAAACAGTTAATAAAGAGCCCCGTCTGACCACCGTTATGCAATAAATAAATAAATACAGAAATGGTTTCTGTAGTGTTTTACCAGGTCAAGAAGATTTACGCCAAGCATTATCCTGCTTCCTGTTACAAGTACTTTAAAAAATGTGGCAGCATTACCACTCCTATAGCCTTTATTTGTCCATCGTACTTTCTACCTGAGCTTGGACAATGCGATACACAACGAGGAAGCAGACACAAACGCAGAATAAAAAATGACTGCCACGGAAGCTATTTGGGGCCATAAAAGCTGAGAAACCAGCAGCCACAAAGATTGAGAGACTGCGCCAACACACCCCACAGAAACATACACGGCCTCAAAACACAGTTGAAAGCAACAAACCCACTGTCGGTTTTCTGGAAGCCGTCGGCACCGCAGCCTCACCGGGCCAGGGCAGCCCGACCGCCCCGGGGAGCCCCGGCAGGGCGCTCCCCACACAGCCAAGGACAACAGGAGAGGCGCGGGGAGGGAAAGCACAGACGCCCCCAACCTGCAGCCCTCAGCCCATCCTCCCTGCCCTCTCCTCTCTTCCCCGCCACGCAGGCGGCACTGGAAGCCGAGCCCAGCCCAGCCCAGCCCAGCCCTGTCCAGCTCAGCTCGCCCCGGCCCGGCCCAGTGACTGAACGAGGCGCTGTCCCCTCAGGGCCCCCGGCCCTTCCTCACCTCCCTGCGCTCCCCGCCGGCTGCCCCTGCCCGCTCCG